GTTAGATAGATAGATAGATAGTACGGGTGGACCCTGGCAACCTCTATCCTCTAACCAGCATGTATCCGACAGAGGTTAGAGGATAGAGGTTAGGGGGGGTACATGATGCCCTAAGTGGGGAGTGTAGACTCGAGCTTCTGTTTCTGTTTTTTTTGTCAGTTTCTTTCTTCAGGGAGGCACAGCATGTCAGGCCCACGCTAGCACCAGCGGTGGCAGGTCGTCTTCGCCGGCCCCGGACGAGCCACCTCCAGCTAGGTCTTTGTGGGGGTGGCTTGATTCAAAAGCCCCTTTGCGGACATGGGAATCCTTACACTTACATACGGTCGTCCGCGACCAAAATAGACCCTACTTCATCACAACCCCTAGGCAGGGCGGGGGGGGGGCATATGCAAGGAAAATTGGCAGCTGCAAGAATCTGGATGTAGGCTTGCAATCGTGACCAAAAGAAGTATCACGAATGCGTGTGCACCATACTGAAACTCCGAAGCAATGAGCTGGACTCGAAGAAGTGTCGCTCAAAGCTTTGATCAGTAGACCCCGGACCCCGAGATCTTGCATCATCTGACCGCACGAAACCCAGAGGAGGCGCAAAGAAATCAAGCCCGAACCCCACTCCGACCTGCGGGAGCAGGTGTTCCCTGCGCAGAAGGAATCAGCTTTGGTGGCTGGTATTCGTCTTCGGGTCTTCGGGTCTTGGGAGCCTTGGCTTCAGAGAGTGTTTCCACTGCCCCATTCCTCCTCACCGTGCTGGTCACCTTTCAGCTGTCAACACGGAAGAACAACGGCAGTGGGCAATTTTCCTTGTTCCCCGCGTCCACCCTTAAAAAACCCCTAACTACACAAGCCCCCAACGTGGCCTCGAGGCGCTCTGCAACGGCCTCCAACCTCGTGGGATTCGTTTGGATGACAAGCGGTTCCTAAGTTTAGGGCTTAGGGCTTAGGCGGCTTAGGAATTGGAAGAACCTTCGGGCGGGAGTTCTCATAGCAGTGCGTGGGCAACCAGAAACACCACTTGGGCCTCTCAACACTGATGTAAGCGGAGGTGGGGCATTTGCAGTGTCCGTGTTACCGTATACCAAGCCTTAGCATCTAAGTCAAGAAACTTTTCTATGGCAATCTCTGAGCCCAAAACGCTGTTACAGCTGGAGCCCTTCCGAACGATAAAACGTGGAGAGATGCCTGGGCCCCCAACCTTTTGGAGAGATTCCCGAAGCGGGGAAAGAAAAGCTCTTAGGTTCAGGATTGGCTTAGTTCTCAGGGTTGGTTCAGGGCCCGCACCTCTTAAGAATGGTCTCGAACTGAGCCATGTCCAGGGAGGCCATCTGTGTCAGTCATGGGAAGGAGGGAAGCGCAGGACCGTGCATCTGGGGTTGTGTGAGGAATGTGTGACACTTGCGCGTGTATGTGTACGCTACGAATCCAGGGTCGGCTTCCGCAATAAAATCCAAACTGCCTAAGAGCAAACCATCCCGTGACAGCCGCGGCTGCGCAACCCCCCGACATGCAAAACCAAACTGCCTTCGAGGGAGTCTTGCTGCATTTGGTTCGAACAAGATTGCACACAGACTCATCTTCCTTACGGGCTCAGCCTCAGGGTAAGCACCCAAGCAGCCCTAAATTTCAGACATGGAGACACCAGGGCAACGTCTTCCAAGATCCGTGAGAAGCTTGCACGGCGGCAGGCAACATCCAGCCTTGTTCCACAGCCTCGAGTTCTCCAGGGCCACCGACCAGGAGGCTATGGTTCAATGGACTTGGAAGAGTAGGTACTCATGGTTGACTTGTCTGTGCCAGGCGATGAGTGGGTTGGGACTTTATGTGTAGACCAGGTGAGAGGAGTGTCCAAAGTCACAAACCCTGACAGCAGGGATTGGCTTGCCAACATGTGGGAAGGGAAACTGAGCCAAACAGCTTTCGTTTCAAAACGGGGCATGCGTAAAGTCGCACTGCTAAATGCCCTTCACCTACACCTTAAGCCCTAGGCCGTAGTAATCCTTAGTAGAGGGACCGTAAGCCCCAGCCGCAAAAGAATGCGAACCTCGGCTCTCCAACCTTGCGCAAACAGGGAGCAGTGCAGAGAGCATGCCCAGAACCTTACGGAGAGCCAAGAGCCCAACAGCGACCCCCTACTCGAAAACTGCAACTTGCAACCAAAAAGAATCACTCTTTCTTGCGCGCCATCATCCGTGGGTCCACTGCGGGTCACAAGGCTCAGGGCCCCGCCAACTCAATAGAACTACGGTGCAACAATGTGGGTCAGAAGTCAGTTCCCTCATGATAGCTGGCGGGGCGTTCCAGCCCGCCTGTGAGATGATAGCGAGGTCGTGTCTCTCAGGCTGGAAAGATCCCGGCCGCTTGGGACACGAACTACGAGTAGCGTTTCTTTAGCTCCCCCCCATTCCACTGATCGCTGGGCTTCCCGGATCTTTCGCATGCCACATATTCAAAACGAGCTGCGGTGCTCCGAACACTACATCGTGAAGTATGCTCGTCACTTGACATGCCGCTGTGTTCTTTTAACATCCTAGACTTGTGTCGGTAGATGCTCCCAGCTGGCACACAAACAACTACAAGCAGCAGCTCCATGTATCAGAGGACAACCCAAGACACCAAATGTCTGCCGGCCTTGAAGCTGTAACTTTAAGAACTCCTGCACTGTTTCATCTGCAACCCGGCATTTCAAGGCCCCTAACCATACCAGCCATACGCCTGTGCATGTGTCTTCAAACTTCCAGGAATAAGTTCTAGTGTGCCTAGTGTCATTGACTCATGCCCATGTGAAATTTACATTCACTGTAGCTCATATGTCGATTTATCCGCCTTCTCAGAATCGATACTTGGGGTCCAGCGCCTGGAAAGGCATGCGCGTGGCAACTGGGTCGTACCTGGCAATTGGAGAAACAGTTGCAGAGTCCGCGTATGGCCTTAAGGTCTTAAAGTTGATGTGAGGATTTGGGGAAATCTTGGGGAAATGGCCCGCCATCAAGGTCGCCATGACTGAGAGCAGACCACACGACATCACACGACTATCAAGTCGCGCAACAGCTGTCTCTGATAGAGGTAGAGAAGAGATCTAAATTCAAGGTGCTGCCATGTGCTGACCATGCTTCCAAGGGCAAATGAGGGAGATGCAACCACTCGGAGTACTCATTACTGGGATTTCATATGCCGGCAACCGCTCCCCGAAGGCAGGGGCTGCCATGATCTGCCATTCCAGGGGGGCCGTGTGATCGCCAGGCTGTTGAGCAAAGGCATCCCTGGAGCTGTCTTGAAGTCCCTAGCAGAGAACCTACCTCTACGTAGGCCTACTCGGGATCGAGAAGTACAAGACCCCCGTCGCTACACGGACGAAGATTGAGCAAGAACCCTCAAGAAGGAAAGGAACCTCACCTCAATTGAAAGCATCAATCACCGTCCAGGCATCACAACACGAGGTTCCCAAGCTGCCACCAACCAGTGCTCCAGCCAGGTCGTTCTACTGTATTTGCCTAACCTTCTTCAAAATCAACTGCAACTTCACTATCTTCATTGTAAATTGTACCTACGTAGACTCGTAGGTCGGTCGCAGTTGGGTCGCAGTTTGCACAGAACGCGGGGGACGATGCCTCATGCCACGGACGTCATTTTACATTCCCACCTTAGAATGATTACGTCTCGGGTGGACGCGCCAAGCATTGGAGAGAACAAGAAACATCGACCTCAGAGTCCACGACTCTGAGGTCGCCTGGGCATCTTGGAGTCACGGCTGACCACGTGTTGGGTGCACTTCAAGACTTGTCCCGAAACCTGAGACTCCGCCAGCTTAAACGAGACGGGCTCGCTCGCCAGACAGGGAGGCCAAGTAGTGAGCTTGGTTCGTCTCCTCCTGCTCCCGGAAGAAGAGCATCTGCTTCTCCTGAGGTCTGATCCAATGCGTGTTTTTGGATGGTTGTAAGCTGTGGGGTTTCGGGCTTAGAGTCTGGAGTGGACAGTCTGATGTTGGGACAGCTGGAGCTTACTGTGTCTTCTCGAACCTTACAAGAACCTCAGAAACTTCAACCTCCTTGGCCACAAACATGAGCTCTGCTCCGAGAACGAAAACCCCGTTCTGCTACGACAGCCCGAAGACCTCCTAACACCCTACAACCCTAAAGAGCCTAAACCTTAATGCCCCCCTTTAAAACCCTTCCCACTTGAGCCCGCCACGTAGTAGCGCTTCCGGCTCTGGATCTTGTAATACCTTTGGAGTTTTGAGCACAGAGGCATGTAGGGCCCAACTTGCAGGGTAACGGAAAGGACCTTCAGTGGCAAACAGCTCTGCAGGGTCAACATGTGCGCCAATTGCGTACAGAGCTGGTTCGAAAGCTCAGAGGTTGCCCATAGCTCTTGAAAGGGATTTGCAAAAACTGTATCTCTGACTCAGTGCCGCACCCTTACGGGTGACAGAATCTTAACAACGAGCAGGGGTGCTGAGCCCCGAAAAAACCCTTGAGCCTTTCAGCCTCGAAGTCCCCTTGCTTCCGACTTCCCCAAGGAAGCCGTGGATTGCCCAGGGCTCGGACTCATGGTCGAAGCACATGATGTTCAAGGTCCGGCCCACCTGCAGGGCGACAGGGCCGAATTGGGCTGGGGGTCCCCAAAATGGGGTTTGTGGGGGAGGAGGGGGGGGGGGGGCTTCGCAAGTACCCAAAGCCTCCCAGCAGAGCCCCGAGGCCCTGGCATAGACGAGGCCGGAGAGGATGACGCCCGCCGCTGCGCCGTAAGCCAGAGAGTAAAGCGGCGTACCCTGAGAAGGATGAAGACGTTTTGAAGCTTCGAACTCGTGCTGAAGCTGCGAGGTACGAAAACGGTCTGAGAGCGGTACCACCTTCACCTTGCTGAGGGCAAAAGTGCTGGCCCGGGAAAGGAAAGACCTGGTGAGCTTTGGAGTGCACCGCTCCTATCCCCAAAGCCCTCAAAGGGTGAAAAGCCCTCGTTCGGCTCTAAGGCTCGAAGTTGGCTTCAGAATGCACCACGGTATCTTCATAATGTTGTGCAGGATGCAGAGGCGACACCGGGTTTTGGGTTGAAGTTTTCCGGGCACGGTGTTCAATTTAGAGGTTGAAGCCAGTTGTTGAGAATCTCCACGACTAACTGGTTTCCAAGTCCCAGGCGGCTTGGCAGTAGCTTCGATCTGCTCTGCCATGGCTCCTGAAACATTTGCTCAGGGAAGACGAGGGAAGATGAGGGAAACCGATCGCATCGTTCAAGTTGGAAATTTATTGGGCTGGATCTTCCTGGTCAAAGCTTGGACCAGACATGCTTTGCGTGCACTAACACTAACACGTTCCTAAAGTCTTGCTGTCACATCACTCCCTCGTCGCGGTCGCCATCTTTTCTAGTTGAGCTAGATGAGGCCGCAGGAAGCGGGAGATTGTTGGATGTCAGCTCTTACATCGCCTCCACTACGGATGTCTTAATGCAAGCACGGAAAGTACGGCTCGCGATTGTTCACCGGTCCGTCATGAAGGACATCTGGCATTGCACAATAACGATGCAGGTGCAACCCCCGATCACAAAGCCTGGTGATCCACACGTCGTTTTGCCCTAACTCGTCATGACAGTCTTGAAAGACTGAAGAGGATTACTTGTAGCAGCCACCAATGCGATAAGGAGAGCAGAAACTGGGATGCAAATGACACAATTCCCATCTCACCTCCAGATGCAGCAGCTGCCCAGCAAAGAAGTAGGGAGGTCGACGTCTGGTCGCTGCTCTTTGCCCGAGCCAACACACGGTCGAAGACGGCATCGAATGATAGGCCCGAGCGTTGGGTGGATGGTTTTGCCGCTCCATCCCCATCCCTACATATATATATATACAGATATACATACATACATACATGACATTTATGTATATATATATATACACACATACATATACATATACATATACATATACATATACATATACATATACATATACATATACATATACATATACATATACATATACATATACATTGACATAGGCATAGACATAGACGTAGACGTAGACATAGACATAGACGCGCCAGTCTAGCCCCGTCAGATCCTGTCCGCTAAGCGCATTGCTGGAATATAAGCCTTTCGTGGTCTTTCGTGTGTCTACGTGTTTCTCAGGCGGGCATTGCCCTTTTCCCAGTCTTTTCCCAGTCTTCAACTTGCTGACAAGCAAAATTCTCACCTTTGCCTTCATCTGGCTGACACCCGCATCCGCACTGACACACTTTTCTGCAGGTCTGCAGGGTAGTTTTGGGTCTGCGAAGAGAGAGAGACACACGATTTGGTCTCCATCTGTCCGGACGAAGCCGGGCCCTGAACTCTCCACAGCGTGCACACCCAAAGCTTAGAGGAGTCCAGCGAATCGATCCAAGCCCCAGCTAGGAATCTGTCGGAATCTGTGTGCAGCTGAGTGTGGGGCCCGCGCTTCGGCCCGAGACATTTCAAGACTGCGCAGAGCGCGCCCACGCCCGCAATCAAAGCCCACGTCAAACATGCATCGTCCTGAAAGCACCCCTCTAAAGCACTATAAAGAAGCCCATCCTCAACTGCAGCCTCAGGGATTGCCACTCGGCTCGACTGCGGACGTGCACTTCGCTCAGCGCGGGCTTGGATTTCGGAGCTTTGAAGCTCGGGGAGTTTTAGGGCTCTGTGCAAGGGGCTTGTAGGGGGTTTAGGACATTTACGGATTTAAGGCTGCGCCTATATAGCCTTTAACCTGTAGTTTCAGGGTATCTCAGGATGGCAGGGTTTCCCCAAATTCAAGAACTCGCCCGACGCTGAAGCGGTGTCAGCTCAAAACAGCAGAACAATGAGGACTGCGTCCGCCCCATTTCCGAAAGACTCTTAGAATCCATGCTCTACCGAAGTTCATGGATCGAAGCTCCAGAAGCGGAGTCCTCAAGAAGCAAGCCTGGTACTGGCAGACCAGCAGGCTCCTTTCCCGAATTCAACAGTGGTTCCACGGTGAGACTCTAACGGAAGCCTTATATGCCCCTTGGTAAAAAAAAAAACAACCACGCCTTGCTGTCTCCAACCTGTCAGGGAGAGGAGCCTTCCCATGAACACATCCAGGTCCGGTGACTGTTCTTAGGCGAAGGTTCTTTTTCAACGGCCACAATGACAACCATGGAGGCCTCGTTCAGATCTGGATGCGGATGGGTCAGCTCTCCCTTATGCAACGGTCCACTTCAAGTGCAAAGATACGACAAGTCAGGAGGTCGTGCTACTCCCCTGAGGGTCGGTTCGGGTTGTGCGGTCAGCACCCGAAGTGGCGTTGTGACAGATGCAACGCTGCCGCAAGTTTTGGGGATGGCAACGAGCAAGATGTGCCCGAGACGTCGGACTGCAAGGCTGGGGAGTTTTAGGAGTAAGGAGGTGTGCCTCCTCAATTTGGGCACTCCGATGTAGGTTTTTTGGGATTGAGGGCTTTGTCGGCCAGGTTACTGGCATTGGTGGCTCTCAGACCTCACGACAATGCCCGTCTTACTGACCTGCGGTGTTCGTCGGCTGTTCTGGGGAGCGCGCATGCTTCAGCAACTCTGTCAGTGACAGAGCGCCTTGGAAAACTGCTAGACCGCTCTGCCAATGCTCGCAGCCAGGAGGCGACGCCAACCTGGCCACGAGCAAGAACGCCGTTTGCAAAAAAATCGTGGGCCATGCCACGTGAAGAAAACGTCTCTGCACCGCTGGCTTTGGAGACAATGAAAGAAGCCCGGAAAGGGTGCACCAACATTGTCAACATGCATATCAACTGTGTGTAAAGAAACGCTGCTGTGCAGAGAGCCTGGGTGCTGCATGCTGGCCGCCCAACGTCTCAGCATGTCTGCTTAAACAGCAGCATCGAGTGGGCCTCATCTCAATGCGCAGACCCTTAAAAACTGCCACCCTCACGACTGGACCTCCGGCCTCACTTGAAGCGTGGCACTGGCCCAGGTAGCAGGATGCGAGCGCGATCTTCGTCGGGGATCTCGGCATGAGCTGCGAGCACATGGCCTTCGAGGCATGCCAGGATGAAGGCACGCGCGAAGGAGTTGTTCTTGGCCATCTGCTGAAGCTCGTCCTGAAGCTCGTCCTACTGTGCCTGCATGTCCTCTTGGTTTGCTATCAGCCCCAGCACCTGGGCCTTCAGCTTGTCACGCGTCTGCTTCCGCGCACGCTTTGCCGGACCATCCTTCTTCGCAGGGTGGACGTGGCAAAATCGGCAGCCCACACCGTGCAAGCAGCCCATGGAGCTCGCAAAGAACACACAAGGATTGCAATCATGGCAATCGCCTTCTTGCTCGCTCTGGCTCACAGCTTCCGCCAGAAGCTTCTCCGCGACGGGCTCTACCTTAGGCTGAGCCTCCATGTCGACAACTCCATCCATAGGCTCCCGAAGGAATGCGTCAGCACCGGTGCAAGGCCAGGAGGACAACCTGCTCCACCCCGCGGCCATGAGCTGCAGGTCCTCCTCTGAAATCACGCGGAGAAAGGTGTTCTGCTGGACGATGTGCTGAGCTCGCTGAGCTCGCTGAGCCTCTTGAGAGAACGATGTCTCAGGCATGGCACTCGAGAGCAAGGTGGCTGGAAGAAACGATTGAAAGCAACTCTTCTGTTGCAGGCTCTCGCGATGAAGAGCTCGAGAAAATGCTCGAGAAACAATATGGCAATTGCTGAAGTCAAGGCAGCAGCAGCAGCAGCAGCAACCGGCGTGTGCCCTAGTCTTCCGCGCCAGTCTAGCCCCGTCAGATCCTGTCCGCTAAGCGCATTGCTGGAATATAAGCCTTTCGTGGTCTTTCGTGTGTCTACGTGTTTCTCAGGCGGGCATTGCCCTTTTCCCAGTCTTTTCCCAGTCTTCAACTTGCTGACAAGCAAAATTCTCACCTTTGCCTTCATCTGGCTGACACCCGCATCCGCACTGACACACTTTTCTGCAGGTCTGCAGGGTAGTTTTGGGTCTGCGAAGAGAGAGAGACACACGATTTGGTCTCCATCTGTCCGGACGAAGCCGGGCCCTGAACTCTCCACAGCGTGCACACCCAAAGCTTAGAGGAGTCCAGCGAATCGATCCAAGCCCCAGCTAGGAATCTGTCGGAATCTGTGTGCAGCTGAGTGTGGGGCCCGCGCTTCGGCCCGAGACATTTCAAGACTGCGCAGAGCGCGCCCACGCCCGCAATCAAAGCCCACGTCAAACATGCATCGTCCTGAAAGCACCCCTCTAAAGCACTATAAAGAAGCCCATCCTCAACTGCAGCCTCAGGGATTGCCACTCGGCTCGACTGCGGACGTGCACTTCGCTCAGCGCGGGCTTGGATTTCGGAGCTTTGAAGCTCGGGGAGTTTTAGGGCTCTGTGCAAGGGGCTTGTAGGGGGTTTAGGACATTTACGGATTTAAGGCTGCGCCTTTTTGCCTTTAACCTGTAGTTTCAGGGTATCTCAGGATGGCAGGGTTTCCCCAAATTCAAGAACTCGCCCGACGCTGAAGCGGTGTCAGCTCAAAACAGCAGAACAATGAGGACTGCGTCCGCCCCATTTCCGAAAAGACTCTTAGAATCCATGCTCTACCGAAGTTCATGGATCGAAGCTCCAGAAGCGGAGTCCTCAAGAAGCAAGCCTGGTACTGGCAGACCAGCAGGCTCCTTTCCCGAATTCAACAGTGGTTCCACGGTGAGACTCTAACGGAAGCCTTATATGCCCCTTGGTAAAAAAAAAAACAACCACGCCTTGCTGTCTCCAACCTGTCAGGGAGAGGAGCCTTCCCATGAACACATCCAGGTCCGGTGACTGTTCTTAGGCGAAGGTTCTTTTTCAACGGCCACAATGACAACCATGGAGGCTTCGTTCAGATCTGGATGCGGATGGGTCAGCTCTCCCTTATGCAACGGTCCACTTCAAGTGCAAAGATACGACAAGTCAGGAGGTCGTGCTACTCCCCTGAGGGTCGGTTCGGGTTGTGCGGTCAGCACCCGAAGTGGCGTTGTGACAGATGCAACGCTGCCGCAAGTTTTGGGGATGGCAACGAGCAAGATGTCCGGCATGTGACTTCCAAGCGCCCGAGACGTCGGACTGCAAGGCTGAGGAGTTTTAGGAGTAAGGAGGTGTGCCTCCTCAATTTGGGCAAGCCGATGTAGGTTTTTTTTTTGGGATTGAGGGCTTTGTCGGCCAGGTTACTGGCATTGGTGGCTCTCAGACCTCACGACAATGCCCGTCTTACTGACCTGCGGTGTTCGTCGGCTGTTCTGGGGAGCGCGCATGCTTCAGCAACTCTGTCAGTGACAGAGCGCCTTGGAAAACTGCTAGACCGCTCTGCCAATGCTCGCAGCCAGGAGGCGACGCCAACCTGGCCACGAGCAAGAACGCCGTTTGCAAAAAATCGTGGGCCATGCCACGTGAAGAAAACGTCTCTGCACCGCTGGCTTTGGAGACAATGAAAGAAGCCCGGAAAGGGTGCACCAACATTGTCAACATGCATATCAACTGTGTGTAAAGAAACGCTGCTGTGCAGAGAGCCTGGGTGCTGCATGCTGGCCGCCCAACGTCTCAGCATGTCTGCTTAAACAGCAGCATCGAGTGGGCCTCATCTCAATGCGCAGACCCTTAAAAACTGCCACCCTCACGACTGGACCTCCGGCCTCACTTGAAGCGTGGCACTGGCCCAGGTAGCAGGATGCGAGCGCGATCTTCGTCGGGGATCTCGGCATGAGCTGCGAGCACATGGCCTTCGAGGCATGCCAGGATGAAGGCACGCGCGAAGGAGTTGTTCTTGGCCATCTGCTGAAGCTCGTCCTGAAGCTCGTCCTGCTGTGCCTGCATGTCCTCTTGGTTTGCTATCAGCCCCAGCACCTGGGCCTTCAGCTTGTCACGCGTCTGCTTCCGCGCACGCTTTGCCGGACCATCCTTCTTCGCAGGGTGGACGTGGCAAAATCGGCAGCCCACACCGTGCAAGCAGCCCATGGAGCTCGCAAAGAACACACAAGGATTGCAATCATGGCAATCGCCTTCTTGCTCGCTCTGGCTCACAGCTTCCGCCAGAAGCTTCTCCGCGACGGGCTCTACCTTAGGCTGAGCCTCCATGTCGACAACTCCATCCATAGGCTCCCGAAGGAATGCGTCAGCACCGGTGCAAGGCCAGGAGGACAACCTGCTCCACCCCGCGGCCATGAGCTGCAGGTCCTCCTCTGAAATCACGCGGAGAAAGGTGTTCTGCTGGACGATGTGCTGAGCTCGCTGAGCTCGCTGAGCCTCTTGAGAGAACGATGTCTCAGGCATGGCACTCGAGAGCAAGGTGGCTGGAAGAAACGATTGAAAGCAACTCTTCTGTTGCAGGCTCTCGCGATGAAGAGCTCGAGAAAATGCTCGAGAAACAATATGGCAATTGCTGAAGTCAAGGCAGCAGCAGGCGCGTGACCGATAGTCACACAGCTCCCTCCCCTGGACTTGCCTTCACGGCACACTCCAATACTAAAACACGTGCCAATCCCGAATCACTGCTGAGCATGTCCGAAAAAAGCCTGATCCGCAAGTACTCGACGCAGCCCCTTGTCCCTCTTTCTGAATAAAGTTTTGCTCGGTCGTCTCTAGGTGGCCTTGAGAAGCCAGCGCCTCCCGTTTTTATTGCACTCGCGTGCTTCTGTGTCTGTCTCCGCCCGGATGGAGGAAGCTGAATCCGCGAGAACTGGACCACCATCACCTCTTGTGTAGAGCAACATGGGCCATGTACGGGGCATCTATAAGAGAGCCAACAAACCCGGCACACCCTGCCAAGACGAGATATCTAATCCAAACTAATCCAAACGAGGAAAACCGATGACGCGAGATAACTGTCACCCCTGGAGACCCACACATCCCAGTGGTGTCGAGCTCACTTAGCAGACTTAGCCACTGCAGGGCAGATCCAGAAGCAAATTTTCTCCGGGCCAGATAGGAATCAAGGAGAAATCTGGGAAATCGTGAGCTCCACTTACCTTGGCCACTTCCATGAGGAAATGGTGCCCTCTCTTCGAGCTTCACGTTAAAAGCGACATGAAGAGCTTTGCAGTCACTGTCCGGACACCCCCCTCGCAACCCTACAAGCGAAGTCCGAAAACTTCTGGTGCAACTTCGGGTGGATCAAGGATCATGTGCAAATTCGGGAGGGTGGATTGTGGCGGTGACTGACTCGACCCCGAAACACTCACCAGACCTTGGGGGGGGGGCCTGCCAAGAAGAAGCCATCTCCAGTGCCCCCTCAACAAGATCTCGTCCATTTCAGAGATCTTCAGGATTGAAATCCGAATGCACCATTTTGGAGGTTGGATTGACTGGTTCAGCGAAGTTTGGGGATTGGAGCTCTAGACGACTGCAAAGCTCAGATGGCCAACTCTCTGAGTGGCCTGGGGTGCCGCAATGTTTCTCGCGGGCCTCCCACTGTGAAACGTTCCCAGGGGCTTGCGGCCCCCAGCTCCCTCAGAGGCTTAGGGCGCAGACGGGTGTAGGGTGATGCAAAGCTTTGGACATGCCGAAACCCGATTCTCGAGAAAGGCAAGACCTGCACGAAGCCAAGCAGAAGATCCCAACAAGATAACAGATGTGCTGAAATTGTAGCCAGGGCTTGCACCTAGGCGCAGACCTTGCACAAGCTGAACTCCAAAACCCTAAACCCCAAACCCCCTGAACTACTGATGGTGTTGGGCCGTTTGAAAGCAGTGTCCTAGAGCTACTGCAACGCCTTTGGAAGGAGGATTCTTGGAACCTTTGGACACCCTTCACGTTGGCGCGGCAGGCTCGCCATCCCTGGCCAGAGCAGCTTCTGCTCTTCTGGCTTCGGGGAACGTCGAGCTTACTAAGGCTTACTGAGGCTTACTGGGGCTTACTGGGGCTTACTGGGGCTTTCTGGGGCTTACTGGTTCCCAACTCTTTCGGCGGCTTTGCAGAGGTTTGGGGAGTTTGGGCTGCTTCCGAGCGGAGACCAGAAGCACCAGGTAATACTACAGTAGCTTGAACTGCCCCACAAGCATCCTCTATTTCTGCACTCTGAACAGCGCATGCCAATCGCTTCAATGCCAAGGTGCAGAAAGAACTGCACCGGACAACCAAATCCGACGAAAACCCTTCCAATCCCGATTTGGGCTGCAACGGCAACAGCATCAGGAAACACGACCAGAGCCCAGCCACCAACAGCCTTTCACAGCCTTCCGTTGAATACCGTGACCACACCTTTGATCCCCGGCTCTTGGGAGACCTCTTCGGTGGTGGGGCGACCAGCGGCCTCGCGGCATCAGGATTCCAAAGTTTCAGGATAAGGGAGGAGGCTTCCTAACCAGGCTTCCCCCGAATCAATGATGCCAGCCGGTGTGGGCTTCTACGCCGACAAATGAAACTTAGCCGCCTCTGGTCTTCCAACAATACGCGTGAACGCTCTGGGAACTACAGTTCCTGACCGGCTATCACTGAAGCAGGACCTATGAAAACCGCTGGACTCAAATGTCTGCTAAACTCCTCTTAGGCTGCACTGACTTGAAGCCTCTTGCAGCTGCTGGTGAGCTCGCCATACTTCACTGCAAAGATCTCGTAGTCCTGGACGAGCTACAGCTGATCCCGCGTGACTATGAATCGTCTCCAGTCATGTGCAATCTGTTTCGTTCATGATTCATGACTGCCTGCAAAACCGGCGAGGGGATTTCGGAGAGGTATGGAGAGGTCAACTATTCACGGCTCAGCGCTGACTTTCCACAACCCGCACAAAAACAACGGGTCGAAGTTCGCTGCCATGCCTCCACCGAGCGAGGGAGGTCCAGGGTCTGGTAGGGCACCTCCGCGAGCGCGGAATCAACGGGGGCTTCATGTGCAAGGGGTGTTACACGTTAATCGGATTTGGGTGGTTCAAGGCGGAAGCTTCCCATGAAACCATCTTCCCGGCTGCGCCATGAGAACTCAAGTGATAATCTCCTCAAGCCTCTCAGATTTCTCTACCTGCTGCGGCTTGAGCGAGGGCATCAACCTTCTGAGCTCAAGCACGATACGATTCGCCTTCGGAGTGAACCCCGAACTTCCAAAATCTGGCTCGCAATGGATATTGCCTGACTGCCAACTGAGTGCAAGCCCCCCATTGAGTCTTTTCCGACACCAGAGACCTCTGCGAATGCCCTCAGATTCCGGCTGAAAACCCTCCGAACAACACGTTCTGGCCTGTGGCACTGGCGGCGGCTCGTAGCCCATCCTGCCGTGGCACACTCTTCGAACCCCAGCACCTTGAACACAACAACCAATTGACTTCGTCAGCTCGCTTCAAAGTCGGATTGCAGCCAGAGCGAAGAGGTCTGTAGCGCCACACAGGAACGGTCAAGAACGCATGAAGCCTAGAAATAGCAACGTCGCCCGGTCCCACAGCACCCCTCGATGCGTGGCACAACGAAACTAAGTCGAAACAGCCTGAAGCACTCTGAAGCACAGCTCCCGACTTGCAACCTGCTGTGGGGCGCAACGTAAACCAGAAAGGAATGTTACGGAATCCAAGTAAAAAAAGAAAATGAACCAGAGGGGAACGAAACTACAACCCAGGCAATCGTAACGGAAACCATGGAACCCATGGAACGCATAACGGCAACCATGCTCCGTGATCCTACAAAGCTTCCATAAGCCCTTGTCAGCTTCGGAAATTCTGTCTTAGAATTATGCCTCTCAATTGTATCTTAGGGTTCTTAACAAATAAACGAAAACGGTCAATGACATATATTAAACATAGAATTCGCCTCGGCCTTCGGCCGACTGGGTGTCTCGGACAAGCAAGACTTGAAATGCGGGAAGCCTGGGGACCTCTTGGGGCCCCCCTAGGCCTCTCTGGAACCGCGGCATCTGTCTTACTGCTTGCTTGTTTTCCTCGCAGCTCCCGCCACCCTACCCAAAAAAACCTGCTGTCGCTGAACAAGGTTTGAGGGCTCCTCCAGCAAGCCTATACGTCCCCTTACGCAGCGGGTTCAAGGTTTCGTGGGTGTTACACTTTACAAAAGCACCTCCTAAAGGTAAGTATACCTGAAAGCGCTGACTTAAAACGCTCTAACTTGAAAAATTCTATCTGAAAACTCGATCTTACGGTTCTATCTGAATATGAGATCCAGTACATTACTTACCTTAAGTTTCCATCTCAATCATGTCTTCAAACTTCATCTCCATGCGCTATCTCGAAACTTAGCTCTTGAAGTTCCACTTTAAGAATCGGCTTCAAAGCAGTCTAATTTTCGAACAACTCGTAATGTGTGCGCATTCCGTCCTATAGCTCTATCTCACAGTCATATCTTTAGATTCCCTCTTAAAACTCTGTCTAGCTTAGTCATAGTCTGCCCTCATACAACTCTATCGTACCAGTAGCATTTTGCCTTGCCAAACTCTGCCTTAAAACTACATTGAACGTCTATCTTTACAATGCAATATGTCCTAGAATTGGACCTTGGACTGTTCTCGCTCTGTCTTGAACTGCTGTCTTCAAGCTATGACTTAAACTTATTCGGTTAAAGCCCGTCTGAATTTCCATCTAAGAAGCTAGATAGAAGTCGATCTTGAAATTGTATAAAAGCAGACACTCAGACACACAGACACTCAGACACTCAGACACTCAGACACTCAGACACTCAGACACTCAGACAGTCAGATGATCAGACAGACAGACAATCAGACAGTCAGCCATTTTCTCTTGGAGGAGACTTGGGTGCTCACGGGTCTCGTGCCCAAGTAAGTACAATAGAAAAGTGACTTTCCGCTGAAGTTGGGCAGTCATAGTGGCAATAGACTGAGTACTAACGGGTCTCCCACCCAACTCCAGTATCTGACTGTCTGACTGTCTGCCGTCTGTGACACCCAACAAACTGAAAAGTGTCTGACTGTCTGACTGTCTGACTGTCTGCTTTTCAGTTTGTTGGGTGTCACAGGCGGCAGACAGTCAGACAGTCAGATACTGGAGTTGGGTGGGAGACCCGTTTGTGGTCTATTGCCACTATGGCTGCCCAACTTCAGCGGAAATTCACTTTTCTACTGTACTTGGGTACGAGACCCGTGAGCACCCAAATCTGGCTGACTGTCTGACTGTCTGTCTGACTGTCTGCCCCTGTCTGATTGTCTGATTGTCTGATCATCTGACTGTCTGACTGTCTGACTGTCTGAGTGTCTGAGTGTCTGAGTGTCTGAGT